CCAATCTCTCATGATTCGCAATGAGCATCTTGCTCTAGAAGAAGGGTTGGTTACAGAATCTTCAGAGACGAACAAACAGATGTGGACGAAGCTTTGGAAGCTGAATGTGGTGCCCAAAGTTCACGTGTTCTGGTGGCGTGTGCTTCGGGGGATACTTCCTGTCGAGAGCACCCTCAAGTACAGGCACATAGCGACTTTAGACAGGTGTAAAGTATGCCTATCAGCAGATGAAGATATGTATCATGCGTTGATACAATGCACACATGCAAAACACTTCTGGGTAGAAGCCTGCGAGTGGCTGGACATCAAGTTACCAGAGCTGCATGGCTTGACTTGGTCCAGGGATATTCTCTGTGACTCTCGTTTCGATGGTTTAGACCAAGCTAAGATCATCACAATGATGTGGGCTATCTGGACATCTCGGAACAACATTACTCATGACAAGGCAAGTATGGAACCGATGCAATCACTGAAAATGACTAGAGAGGCTCTAGCGGTGCTAGAGCTTCCAAGCAAGCATGCTTGCATACTGCCAGGTCATGGGTGGCGACCGCCAGATGGTGAGGTGATCAAAATTAACACTGATGCTGGAATCTCTATGTTGGAGCACAGAGCAGGCATTGGTGGTGTGGCTCGGTCATCCTCGTCGTTCCTACCAGCTTGGTGCAAACCATGCCTAGGCATTACAGATCCACTTGTGGCAGAGGCTTCTACTGTACATGAAGGCGTGGTGGTGGCACTGCTTCATGGCTTTGTGCGGGTGCAGATTGAGACAGATTGCTTGGATGTGGTGAACCTCTGGAATTCGTGCCGGACTTTGCGCTCTATGATAGCGTCGTTACTCTTAGATATTGAGGAGCTAGCTGCTAGTTTTACTTCTTTTGATATTCTACATGTAAAGAGGCATGCTAACATTCCGGCCCACCTTTATGCAAAACATGCATGCACATTGGAGGTGTTAGAGTGCTGGATGGACTCTCCCCCGGGCTTGCTGGTAACCAGCCTCATGGCTGATAGTGCTGGCGCCTCTTCGTGTGAATAAAGCTCTTCATTACCCCGCAAAAAAGTTTATAAATTGCACAAACCCACCACATTGAAGGTTAACCGAAAACACAACTTTATATTATTTTTGGTAGAAACTACCATGTCTTGTGTAATTTTATTTTATTTGCAAAAATAATTGATCGGTGAATTTGGCTATATTGAGTGCGTTTATGACAGATGGGGCTCGTTTTCTGCCTACATGGCATTAGACGACGACGTCCAAACTAAATCCATTTCCCTCCCGTTTGCGCCGCATCACCATCTCTTCCCTTCCAGCTCTCTTCCTGCTCCCAGTCCACAGATGGTGACTCCGGCGAAACTAGGCGGCCAGCCCCGCGGTGGCCAAGGCGAGCTTTGTGGGAGCTCGAACCCTCGCAAGCCGATGGAGACAGTGTTGCCATAGTATTCGGTCGAATACGCGATGACGAAGCTCGAGCTCCCACAAACAGTGCTCGAGCTCCCACAAACAGTAACCCTTACCCTTTTCTCGAGCTCCCACAAACTGTCTTCGTCGATAACGGAGACAGCTCCCACAAACTTAAACAGTAACCCTTACCCTTTTCTCCACAAACAATTACAAACAGTGCGATTTCTCCACAAACAGTGCCAAACAGTATAGTGAGTTCTTCTTCCCCCTTTCCCCTCTCTACTCCTTTGACTAGGGTTAGGGTTAGGGTAAGGGTTACTGTTTAAGTGGAGAAATCGCACTGTTTGTAATTTAGTAATGTCTGAACCGATTTAGGTCAAATTAGGTGTTTTTGAATGCTATATGTGCCAATTGTTCAATTTATGTATACTGTTTGGTGCGCTTTAGTTCAAATTAGGGTGCCATTGAACCCTAGGGTTAGGGTGTTTGTTGAATGCCATATAAGAATCTAGCCATGCTATTCTGGGGTTAGTGTGTTGTTGAATGCTAGGGTTAGGTGATATGTGTTGTTTAGGGTTAGGGCCAGTTTGAATTTAGTGTAACCGAAATTTACTTCTTAGTGTTTGTGCTGTTTAGAGTAATTTAGCACTTATATTGCACTGCTCTCTTATTTTTTGCTCTTAACCGTTGTACTTAAGCATTTATGTTGCATTGCTATGTTTTTTTTGCTGCTCACCTTTTTAATTAGGCACTTATATTGCACTGCTCTGTTTAACTTGCTTTTTACGGTTATAATTAAGCACTTTGCACTACCATGTTGTTTTGTTTGTTGGCAGTCTGGATGATGAGGTTTGGGAATTGAGGATGCATTTACATGACAGAGACAATCTTGAGAGAACTATCAACGCGTTTGGTTCAATGGAAATGTCACGGCTTCCGATTACAGCGCTTTCCGAAACAGTATCCATCATTTGGTAGGCCCACGACATATTGGGTGGCGGCGTCTTCTGATACTTGCGCTCGTGAAACTGAAAACGGCAGGACCGAAGGTGATAAGAAAACTGGGAGCCAGACGCTCGAAACAAACAGAACTTGTATTCGGTAAAGATAGTTTGAAAACGGAGCTTCCCGATACCCAAGTCGAATACGTTACCTGAGCGCATACCAAACGTGTTGTAGGATGTTGTCAGACATCACATTTTACAACCTACTAGCACTGATAGAGACAAAAGGATATGGTGTGAGAGATTTCATATATTATGTCAGGGATCCTGGCCTGGGGATAGAAGGAATGGAAGAAATAGATGATGATGACAAGCTAAAGGAAATTCTATACCACTTAGTAATGCAGAAGCAGAAGATATTGAATGTGACAGTTGTTAGGGCCAATTCTCCCAAACCTGCATATATAAACAACAGTGCCACTGTTATTGAGCAGCAGGTCCCTCTAGATGAATTGGGGAGCCCAAACTGTAATAGATAGATGAGAAAGGAGCTTCGTTCAATGCACATAATGGAGATGCAGCAACAGAACAGGTGCCAGCCAATACAGTTTCAAACACGGCAGAGCACACATCAAGAGCCTACAACTTGCTTTAGGTGGTGTACAAGACCATGTAACAAATAATTCAGAGGATCAAGAGCAAATCGAAAAACCCTATGGAGGAGACTAGGAGAAAGGAGATTGAAATTTTTAGGAAGAATAGGAAGCAAAAAGAGAAGGGCAATTCATTGAAAAGGAAAGTTGCAGTTATGGCCAATGAAGTCCGACGCGATTTGGTCATTCCTGGCAATGGCGGTGTTTTGCACCGTTACCTTGTTGACAGTGTTGCTCGAATATGCTTGGACTTGTTCTTCAGGGTGAAAATCTAGATTCAGCCCTCTCGTGGTTGGATCCAGTGACGACGGTGCTTGAGCATCATTTCCTTCCTGAAGGCATTGCTGTTGAAGAACCTCGTTGTCTTTGTGGTGTCAAAAAAATGGTTGGTGCGGATACAATCATTGTTGTAGTTTGTCAATTGTTGTTTTGGTCGCCTGGTTTTTTTACTCGCTTAGGCGTAGCTTTGGTCTTGTATGACTTTGCTCTTTGCCGGTGTGTTTTGCGTGTGTGTGTTGGTGTTGGCTGTGTGCATCCTAGCTATCCAGAGGCCGGTTGTGTACTCATTGTGTTTTGTATCCACTTGATGCTTCATATTGAGTTAATAATATTCACCCTTTATAGAAAAAATGCAACTTTAGGCCAACGCCTATGATGATTGCCCGCCCATCATTCGTCCCGTTGAGGAAAACTTTAATATTATATCGTGGATATTGTATGAATAGATGAATACATTCCTTGCCTCTTGAGCATGCAAATGGTTTGGGAGGTACTGGTGAACTGTTTTAAAAATGATGAAAACAAAGATATGCATAAATATTATTTTTTTGAATATTGAAATCGTGTGCATCGAAAAAAGACAAGGTCATTGCGCACATGAAGAGTTTGTTGTTTTTCCTCGCCCTATTCTTTATCCTACCAATTGACTGACCCTAACTTTATTTTTATGCGACTAATCAATAACTAAAGCGATTTTGTACTCTCAATGAAGTTGTGACAAAAGGGCAAAACAACATCTATAAGATACGAAAACCCCTACCACTATGTTGTGAAAACACTAATGAAAACGTGATGCGAAATGCACGCAACAAATACAAGCTAAACTAGAGACACGGTGATGGAAGCAAACACGCCCTTCCCAAGGACGAAGGAGAGGTGTGCAATGTCGTGCACCACAATTGGGTGGCACGAGCAACAACAACGTCATCGGTTGTGGTGGAGCGATGGTGGAAGGTCCCCTTGCCGTGGCAGCATCGCGGTTGAGAGGTAAGCCAGAAGCTGAGGAAGTTGGCATCTGGATGAAGCGAAGGGCTACTGGTTGGCTGTGAGATCCCCGAAGAACGCTAACAGGGAGAGTGGTGTTGTCTTCCCGAGGAGCATGTAGTGCAAACCGAACCAAATGACACCCGCATTATCGCCCGAATCTGTTATCAGAGGAGCCGGAGACAAGGCTTAGGTCCCCGTCATGGGTGCTGGAGCGGGATTGGCGGCTTAAGGCTGCCGCCGTGGTTGGGGTGCCCACCGGCTCACTCATGCTCACCTGGAATAAATTTCAAATTTTACTAGGGCGGTGGTTTCATATTTTTCATAAAATTTACAAAACTAGAGTAGCGATCCCTGTATCACAAAAGTAATGACTTAGGATCTTGTAAGTATGGCCATGTGAGCCCCACCTACGTTTCGCAAAGAAAGAATGCATCAAATAGTAGGGCACAAAAGTTAGCATGACAATAATGATGGTATAAAATAAAGCATTCATAATTAACGCATCTATGCCCAAATTGTTTGGTGGCTGATAACCCTCCAAGTTTATAGAGAACTAGTGATCAAACACAGCGAATTCAGGCATTGAACATAACCAGAAAAGGCAGTGATTGTATTGCACTGAAAGTATGATACAAGAAATCTGATCTGATGCAATCAATCTTCACACACCATCATCATCCATCGATTGCCTGTCTGTTCTGAAAGGGTACTTGGACAGGCTGCAGCCTATGGTCCTCTGGACTGCTGGTGCTGTATCAATCATCATTTGCATACTATGTTAGAACCAAACTGTTGAACCATGTTCCAAGACATAGAAGAAAAGCTGAAGTACATGTTAATATTAAGTCAGAGGAGCTGAATTAAACATCAAAAATGGTTTGGGAAAAGGAAATTAAAAGAAACAAGCCAGCCTATATCAAAATAGCTAGCTCCCTAGAAAACACAGGTGCCAACGGTAACAGTTAGCTGAAAAAAAAGCCAGCTATTGATTATCATCTACCCGAAGCAGTTGGTTCCCAACATAGTCCCATAGCACCTTCGTTGTGGCTGTTCCACAGAACACCTGCTTATCAAGTCTGCCAGCTTCTAGGAGTTGGGGATTCATCAGTTGCCACCACCTGCAAAATTTAGCAATTTAGCACTACTTCGGATGGCAAATTCATTTTATTGCATTGATTAGCTATGTGATTGAAACTAACCTAACGGCAACAAACACATGGACCTGCCTGTCCATATTGTCCAGGTGGACACAGAGCTGCAAAAGAAAAGATCAAAGAGAGAAAAGACTTGTCAATATATAAAATTGGGCGTACCATATTTAGCAAGAGCAAAAATTTGCATTTTTCATGAGTTCTACTAAATTGAGAGTGAACAATATCATTCCTCGGGAATTTCTATGAGATATTAACTTCTTTTTTTCTCATAGAGCAAATAGTTCATGCGTCATATGAGTTACTACTATTTATATCAGATCTTAGTGATATTGATTTTAGTTATTATATACAGACTACATACATTTCAACTTGAAGTTCTTTGGTCCTTATTGACACTCTGAACATATGTTCATACATAGGATGCACAGAATATTAGGCTAGTAAGCGTGTACTTTAGGATAGGAATTTTTTCATTGAATCTAGGCTAATGTCTTTTCCATTAAAAGGTGAAGGATTGGTTCCATCCTACTCCCTCCGTCCGGAAATACTTGTCATCAAAATCAATAAAAGGAGATGTATCTAGACGTATTTTAGTTCTAGATACATCCTTTTTTATCCATTTTGATGACAAGTATTTCCGGACGGAGGGAGTACATAAGAATAGGAATCCATTTCTACAAACCAAAGGGCTCCAAAGAAATTTTTCTTTTGAAAATCCTATCCTATAGAATACCTACAAAATTCCTATTCCTACTTTACCTCATACATAGGAATTCCAAAGGAGGCTACTCGTTCTGTGAGAACTTCAAGAGGCATGGGGATGTCAACCCCTAAGATGAAGGGGAAAATAAACTTATAATCAAAACGTTCGCAATTTATACTCTCTACCGCTCCCAAAATTAACCTGTTTTACCACATTTGCAAAAGACAAACAAACATGTTTTACCACCATTAATGGTAATAAATCATCTGCAGAAAATAAAAGGATACATTAGTCTGCAACCACTATGCTATTTGGTTATGATCATGTTTTTTCACAATTGTCTGCAAGTACACATGAACATGTTAAAACTAACCACCAGGACATGAGGCCGGATAATTTGAAACACAATTATAGTGCACTTAGAGGCATATGCTTACTTAGCAAGAAGCATGTGTTACTTGCTTTGCCACATGATTTTGACAAATTAGCAATGTAATTTAAGTGGATTATGGTAATTTTTGCAAGTGGTGCACTGGTAGAAAAAGAGGCTTCCGTCCAGCCCCATTAGTCGCGAAACTGTAGGAACCGCGACTAATGAAGTCTTTAGTCGCGGTTCGGCAGACGAACCGCGACCAAAGGCCTGGGCCCAGGGCGCTCGGTGGCCAGCTGGTGCACGTGAGGGGCTTTAGTCGCGGTTGGCCAGGCCAACCGCGACTAAAGGTGCCCAAAGGCCTTTAGTCGCGGTTGGCCAGGCCAACCGCGACTAAAGCTCCTCCCCTATATATACCAGTTCAGCACGCTCACTTAGCCATTTGGTGCCACTTCTCTTCACAAGCTTCACAAGGGGGTGTAGGTTTGCTTTTGGTTCCTCTTATGCACATAAGGTGTTTGATGAAATGCCCCAAGAGGGTGAAACAAACATGATATGAAGTGTTGGAGCCACACTTGAGGTTCCTCATTTATTTTTTCCTCCTCGATCGCGGTTAGCAACTTGAACCTTTCATGCATGTGTGTCATTGATAAAATATGCATGTGTGTTGTTCATTGTTTAATTTCTATTGTTTATAGCTAGTTAGTTTAACAAATGCATGATGGTTAATTATATATTTTATATTATAATAATGCATATGAATCGGCAATGGATATACGGTAACCGACTCTCCCGCGAGTTCACTACGGGTTTGAAAGATTTCCTCGTAGTGGCTAATGCGAACAAGCAGAAGGGTTTTGTTATCTGTCCATGTGTTGACTGTAAGAATCAGAAGGGTTACTCTTCCTCAAGAGAAGTTCACCTGCACCTGCTTCGGCACGGTTTTATGCCAAGCTATAATTGTTGGACCAAGCATGGAGAAAGAGGGGTTATAATGGAAGAAGATGAAGAAGGGGATGATTTCATCGATGAAAGCTATCTTGCTCATTTCGGTGATACTTTCATGGAGGATGCTGAAGGTGAAGGGGAAGGTGAAGGGGAAGGTGAAGGTGAAGAAGAGGCACGTGATGAGACCGTTGATGATCTTGGTCGGACCATTGCTGATGCACGGAGACGCTGCGAAACTGAAAAGGAGAGGGAGAATTTGGATCGCATGTTAGAGGATCACAGAAAGTCGTTGTACCCCGGATGCGATGATGGTCTGAAAAAGCTAGGCTGCACACTGGATTTGCTGAAATGGAAGGCATAGGCAGGTGTAGCTGACTCGGCATTTGAAAACTTGCTGAAAATGTTGAAGAATATGTTTCCAAAGAATAACGAGTTGCCCGCCAGTACGTACAAAGCAAAGAAGGTTGTCTGCCCTCTAGGTTTAGAGGTTCTGAAGATACATGCATGCATCAACGACTGCATTCTCTACCGCGGTGAATACGAGAATTTGAATGAATGCCCGGTATGCACTGCATTGCGTTATAAGATCAGAGGCGATGACCCTGGTGACGATGTTGAGGGCGAGAAACCCAGGAAGAGGGTTCCCGCCAAGGTGATGTGGTATGCTCCTATAATACCACGGTTGAAACGTCTGTTCAGGAACAAAGAGCATGCCAAGTTGTTGCGATGGCACAAAGAGGACCGTAAGTCGGACGGGGAGTTGAGACACACCGCAGATGGAACGCAATGGAGAAAGATCGACAGAGAGTTCAAAGATTTTGCAGCTGACGCAAGGAACATAAGATTTGGTCTAAGTACAGATGGCATGAATCCTTTTGGCGAGCAGAGCTCCAGCCATAGCACCTGGCCCGTGACTCTATGCATCTACAACCTTCCTCCTTGGTTGTGCATGAAGCGGAAGTTCATTATGATGCCAGTGCTCATCCAAGGTCCGAAGCAACCCGGCAACGACATCGATGTGTACCTAAGTCCATTAGTTGATGAACTTTTACAGCTGTGGGGCAGACCTGGTGTCCGTGTGTGGGATGAGCACAAAAAAGAGGAATTTAACCTACGAGCGTTGCTTTTCGTAACCATCAACGATTGGCCTGCTCTTAGTAACCTTTCGGGACTGTCAAATAAGGGATACAATGCATGCACGCACTGCTTACATGAGACTGAAAGTGTACATTTGCCAAATTGTAAGAAGAACGTGTACCTTGGGCATCGTCGATTTCTTCCGAAAATTCATCCAGTAAGAAAGAAAGGCAAGCATTACAACGGCAAGGCAGATCACCGGCCGAAGCCTGCGGAACGCACTGGTGTTGAGGTATTTGATATGGTCAAGGATTTGAAAGTCATCTTTGGAAAGGGTCCTGGCGGACAATCAGTTCCGAAGGGAGCTGACGGGCACGCAGCCATGTGGAAGAAGAAATCTATATTCTGGGAGCTAGAATACTGGAAAGTCCTAGAAGTCCGCTCTGCAATCGACGTGATGCACGTTACGAAGAATATTTGCGTGAACCTCCTAAGCTTCTTGGGCGTGTATGGGAAGACAAATGATACAAAGGAAGCACGGCAGGACCAGCAACGTTTGAAAGACCCTGATGACCGGCATCCGGAATGGTTTCAAGGTCGTGCCAGTTACGCTCTGACCAAAGAAGAGAAGGTCATCTTTTTTGAATGCCTGAGCAGTATGAAGGTCCCGTCTGGATTCTCGTCCAATATAAAGGGAATAATAAACATGGCGGAGAAAAAGTTCCAAAACCTGAAGTCTCACGACTGCCACGTGATTATGACGCAATTGCTTCCGATTGCTTTGAGGGGGCTCCTGCCGGAAAATGTTCGAGTAGCCATTGTGAAGCTATGTGCATTCCTCAATGCAATCTCTTAGAAGGTAATCAATCCAGAAGTTCTACCACGGTTACAGAACGATGTGATCCAATGTCTTGTCAGTTTCGAGTTGGTGTTCCCGCCATCCTTCTTCAATATTATGACGCACCTCTTGGTTCACCTAGTCGAAGAAATTTTCATTCTCGGTCCTGTATTTCTACACAATATGTTCCCCTTCGAGAGGTTCATGGAGTATTAAAGAAATATGTTCGTAACCGTGCTAGGCCAGAAGGAAGCATCGCCAAGGGCTATGGAAATGAGGAGGTAATTGAGTTTTGTGTTGACTTTGTTCCTGACCTTAAGCCGATTGGTCTTCCTCGATCGCGGCACGAGGGGAGACTAAGTGGAAAAGGCACGATCGGAAGGAAATCAACGATATGTATGGACGACCATTCTCTGACTGAAGCACACCCCACTGTACTGACCAATTCCAGCTTGGTGGCTCCGTACTTTGAGGAACACAAGAATATTTTACGCTCGGACAACCCGGGGAAGCCTGAATCCTGGATTAGGAAGGCCCACATGGAGACTTTCGGCAGTTGGTTGAGAAAACATTTAATGAATGACAATGATGTTGTAGATCAGCTGTACATGTTGGCCAAGACACCATCTTCGACTATAACGACTTTCCAAGGGTACGAGATAAATGGGAATACATTTTACACGATCGCCCAAGATAAAAAGAGCACCAACCAAAACAGTGGTGTCCGCTTTGATGCAGCAACCGAGAATGGGCAAAAGGTCACATATTATGGTTACATAGAGGAGATATGGGAACTTGACTATGGACCCTCCTTTAAGGTCCCTTTGTTCCGGTGCAAATGGTTCAAGCTAACAGGAGGTGGGGTAAAGGTGGACCAGCAATACGGAATGACAATGGTGGATTTCAACAATCTTGGTTACCTTGACGAACCATTC